CATGCGGCAAATTAATATTGTACATAGTACGCACATTTATTTCATACATGTGCAACAAGAAAATTTATATGCATTGTGTGTAAACCTTTTCGGAATTATGTTTCTTAGTCGTTACTAATTTTAATTTCAAACGATCTTTATCCGAGCCACCGCTCCCGTCACTTTTCGGACTGTCGAAGAAATTAGTGACCTCGAAGCTCATTCTACTTCCTCGGTCGGCAATTACGTGCACGACGATCGTGGGGGAAGTTCCTGTTAAGGGAAGTGGGTACTCTCCCAGGACTATTCTCGCGTTGATAATAGGACTTTTCAATGGAATCCTTAATGATTGTTCCTCGTTATTCCGATCCGTTTCATCCTCTTTCTTGCCTCATTTTCAATTTCGATTTCTCTACGCGTCATCGATCGATTTAATCTCTCTGACTTGTTGGAAATTTCTTTCACTTTCACTTCATAAGAAACCGTATCCGTATCACGGCGACGGAATATTTCTTTAATAGCGATCAGCTTCCCCGAAGTATCGAGCTTTAAATTGTTAACTCGACTCGAGCTCTTTTTCCAATCTGCTGCGATTGCAGTTTGTGCAACAAGAGACTTACGTAACTCCCAGACCGCATTTTTATTCTGATCTTTTCAGTGTACATCATCAAACATTGTTCGGCATAACTAACTTTCGGTATAACAGATTTTCAAATCTCTCGGCGAAATTCGCTGTAACGAGATTCGCCTATGATTTATTCATTAATATACAAGGCGTCTTCAACACACTTTTGCCTGGCTCCCCCTGTGAGCTCAGTACGCCAGAGTGCGAGTTCTCGCGTATCCTTCCAAGTTAAAAGTTCTCTCCTTTAATGCTACAAACGTACTCGAACGCGAGTATTCCGTCGTGCTAAGAAAGGCGGCGAACAGCGCCGAAGAATTTCGATTCTACTCATCGCGCGGTTACGCCGTGAGCTTTTTACAATATTTCACTGTTATGAATAAGAATGCAGCCCACGCGGAGCAGATCTTCCAGGACGGTGGAACTTACTCCGGGAAGGCTCTTGGAAAGAGAGTTCACCTAAACCCTTTTAAAACTTCAAGACCTGCGTTCGCACCCTCTCCTCCGCTTCCCCTCTTCTGAAAATCCCTAGCGAAACTTAAATTCAAATCTTGGCGATACCGCGCCTCGTTTTCCTTCTTCCTCTCTCTTTCTCTATCTCTATCTCCATCTCTCTGGGCGCAGCTTAGTCTCCCTTTAAATTCCCAGTTAGCAGAGTTAAACCAGACCCGAGCACGTGTATATGAGCATCCGCTCTCATTATACGTTTGCCGACTACATGTTGAATACATTGCGGTTTACAGGAGGATATCGTAAGATTGTGTAACCGTTGTAGAACAGTCCGACAACAGACAATAACCTTCTCGATTAAATTATTACGACCAGATTGCGCTTGTGACATCAAGTTTACGGCAATAAGAATCTGTTACGAAAGTTCCTAGAAACATATGTTCAATTTGATGCTGTTTCCGATTTCGTTTTATTTTCTTAACGATTCGAGTCTGCTTATCCTTCACAGGAGGTGCTCGAAATATTTTTTTATTTAATCGATCTCTTGATATTCTTTCGACATGCTCAAACATTGTTATCATTTAATGGAGATCGTGATGGCAGAGAGTCGAATGAAATAAATTATAGTATCAGAACTACAGTATCTTCCGGAAGGAATTACTGAAACACGAAACACGTTGTAACTTGGAAACAGGATCAAATGGGATATATGTTTCTAAGAACTTGTTTTATCGTTTTCAAGTACTGAATCCATCCCTACAGCAATTTCAAGTTAACGTATGAATATACATCAAGCTGAACTCTATAATAACAGAATATTAACAGTAAAATACATTTTGATTATAACTAGAAACTTTTTATTTCGGAATATGTTTAGTATGACGTAAAGTGTAGGAAATTAATGTGAAACTCCGTCAGAGACAGATTTCCCAAAAGACGATTTCTCAAGTCGGCCGAAAAACCCACGACTAAGGTGAACGATTGTAATTTGACGATTGTAATTTGAGACATCTTGTATCAACTTTACATCTTCACTATCTGGTGTCTCCATACGTCGGAATACGAAGGTCTTAATCAAACGTCAAGAGGGAGTCGAATATCTCGCCTCTCTCTTTCAACGTTCACATATTGATACCGCTGAGCACGCGTGCCCACGACGTAATGCATGGGAGACACGCTCGGCGGCAATAAGATAAGTTCGACGGGCTGTTTTCCAAGTGGGTTTTCTTGTTCCACTCTCGATATCTCACGTATGCGAGCGTGAGTATACGTGGTATGATTTAATCGCGTGCATGACTTCGCACTATACGAAAACATCGTGGAAAATGTATTTAATCGCAACAAACGGGAGCGCTCGCGAAAATGGCGTCTGGATTACAAATCGCGCTCTTATCGTTTCGCCGAGCAGTTCTTGTCATTATATTCGTCCTACTGCATCGCGTGCATTGATTGACCAATTTTCTTCGACATCTCGAAGCATGATATCTCGATATATATGTGTAAAGTTATTCTTATCTCGCATGACTAATAAGGAAACCTACACAAGTGTCCGCCTTCGATTTTTATGAACTTGTAATATGTTGTATTTTAAACTTACTTAAAATAACAGATGTTTTTTTATTATATGTGCCCTTTTGCAAGTTTAGGGGGTGAAATACTTCTTTGAAGAAAATCGGTTTTTTTCATTTAAAAAGAATATAATGAAAACTATAAGAGATAGAAAAAAATATTTTTAATAAAAGTTGAATAATTTGAAGAGTACTTTACAGAAATTATTTTAATAATTATAATAAGAAGTAGTGGAGGAAATATTAATAAAAAAAAATTTTTTTTTCAAATAATTTCTGTAAAGTACTCTTCAAACCATTCAATTTTTATTAAAAATATTTTTTTCTATCTCATATAGTTTTTATTATGATCCCTTTAAATGAAAAAAGAAATCGATTTTTTTCAAAAGGGTATTTTACCCCTTAAACTTGCGAAAGGACACATATAATAAAAAACGTATCTGTTATTTTTATCTAAAGTACAAATTATAAGTTCATGAAAATCGGAAGCGGACACTTGTGTGAATTTCCTTGTAAGTGTCATATTAATAAGTCAAGTACGATGTGGATTGCAAATCATAGATCCGCACAGTCTGAGCTATTGAAATCTCGTGACACTAGGTGGCTTAGAACCATACATCTATGCTGCCAATCAATTGCTGTCGATGGCTACTATATCGACAGTTTCGCGATGTATGCGATATCGCTGCAGTTTCGGATAAATCGCCAGACATTAAATAAAAATGTCGCAGTTAAACGAAGACTGGCGATCTTTGCCGGACATCATGTGGAGATGATTTTTATTTAATATGAAATGAGTCGAGCATTTTTATACCGAAACTACGAGATAAACATCTGTCTTCTCTCTGGAGAAAATAACGCGATAATATAAATTTTGTGCCCGGAGAATAATCACGATAAATCTCCACCAGATATAAATTGACTTTGATCTTTCGTCAAGAGTTTAGAAATCACTATGCTGAGAGAAAAAATAGTTAATGGTACTAAAATTATAGTTATTAGTTCGGCATACATTTTTTTGTTCATCTAATGAAAAAATAGTAATGTGCATATACAGTTATTGTCACTATAGTAACATTTATTACCAAAATGATTCCCTTGACTACAAATCCCGAACCGAAATTCTGATCTTACTTTCAGCTTCACTATTATTCCATTCAATATCTATTTTGATATTCTGAAGTCTATAATATAACCTATTCTGACGCTAAAGAAAGCAAAAAGGGAAATTTCGGACATCATCAGAGACAAAGTAGAAGTAAATTGTATCATTAAAATTAAAACTACTTTGCTAACTTAGCTCCTACTGTGTTGTAGAATTCAAGATTTAACATAGGGCCAAAATTTCAACTTGGGATCTTTTACTGTGTAATTACAGTTACAAGAGCACTTTCCACTCGGTGTATGTATCGACATTGCAATAATTCGCGCGAGACGTTTCAGCAAATTATTACGCGGCGCGTTTGGTTTAGTTTCTGCGCTTACTTCCAACGCGACGGATTTCTTCCCCGGAGCGTCTCAGATTCCAAATAATTAGTTCTGACGCTTATTTCCTTTTGAATGAAAGCCGTTCGAGCAAAAGTCTTAAGAGACGGAAATGGATTCATGCGACGTCTGAAAACAGCTCTCTCCTCGCTTTCGTGCCGGCCGAGTCCTTGGCCGGAGTACGATTTCAGCGTCGTCCTGACCGCGGTAACGCGTTTCGTTTGCTGGAACATCATTTTTCATCTGTCGCCTCTCATCTGGAGTCCCGACTATGATTTATCGCGCCGCACCTCATCGTCGAAAAACTTGCTAATGCGTGCCGCGCAGCGGGATGAAGATGCACTGCCGTTTCCGTCGGGAGGAATCCCGCAAGTATCGACAGGATTTTCACGGGGCGCGTTTTAGTGGAAATTAATCTCGGCTTCGTCGGCCACCCGCGCTTTTTTCATATCGTGAAAGTCCAGAGGAACTTCTCAACGAAGAATAATATTTAAACTGTCGCTTCGATATTGACTCTTTGCGCAGAATAATCGCGGTCCGCGTCCTTGATTATTTAACGTGGAAACATGCTCCTCGGTTGAGCCAAGACGAAACTCATTTTCCAACTATTTCAACAGAGACGGAACATCCGGCTTTAAATTTTTAAGGCGCGTATAGCTTGAGAAAGTAAAGACTCGCGTGAGCAAGGAGGAGGAGTTCTTCATCCGGCTGATTTTTCATCAGCTGTGTCGCGTTACGTCCCGAGAACTGATGTTTCCTTCTCTTATGCAATTTTAAATATCTCAGACGGTCTAACGATCCGAGAGTAAAATCACGAACGCGCGAGATAATGTGGAAAGTACTCGTGCAATATCAAATGCACAATTTCGAGATAGAAAAGCACAAAGTCGACTCACCAATCGGACGTCGTTGCCTGCCTGAATTCCCGACGGTCATCGCACTCTTCCCTGAAGAAATCGATGCGACTGCTCTGTCTGCAAAGCAAAACGAACCGAGATTGAAATACGTATTAAGACATAATTCACAATTGCGTTTGTTAGACACGTCATTTGATCGTCGCTCGATTAGAAAGCCATCGGGATTCGACCGCGCCGTGCAGCAAACTCCGGCACGTGTTGCGTCAAAAGTTGGCGCCGTTTAGCACGCTGATAAAATCTCAATTATAGTTCCCGACGTATCGCGTAAGTATCGCGTCGATATCTCCTACGGCTGGTATCGTACATATATTCATGCATGCACGCATAATCGCTCATATATTCATAAAAAAAACATGCATGCAAGTGAACACAGAAAAAAAGAATGGTTGTGTCAACCAGAAAAATAGTAAAATATGGCATAGTGCTTTTCTTTCTGGCTTTAAGAATCACTTCTAACGAGTAAACCTACTCAAAAGTTACACTCCGAAATACATTTCTCTTTCTAATTTGGCACAAATGTAGAAGTACAAAAAATATTTAGGTCATATTTTTTCATTTTGCCCCACTTTGAGTTTCACGGGCAGTTTATAGCTTTTAAGTAGCGCAATTTAAGTAGCGCTAAAATATCATTTTGATCGCGAGATTCTCACGATACATCTTCAAGCAGTATAAGTTCGCCAAAATCTTTAAAAGTTATCTATACATGTCACGGTCAACGTCCGAGATCGACCATTTCGCAAATTGGCTGAGCTTTTCGCACTTTAGCCGATTCTGTCGACCACATCGGAAAGTTTCAATGAGGGAAGTGGTAACTTCGCATCCCGGCCAGGCTATATCGCAATCTGGCTGTAAGTACATGGTCAGGTTTCGGAAAGTGTCGTATGGAGCAGCACGAATTTTAGGTAATTTCAAGTGTCATAACACTTGTCAGATCTAAACCCTTGTATTAAAATATATAATTGTAAAAAAAAGATAAAAGAAAAAGATATACATATACTTGAGTCGAAATTTTAGCCCTACTCTTTTGACCTGAACGTTTTAATATCTATACATTCTGAAGTTCTGTCAATGCATGTTCAATACATTAACTAAAGTTCTCCTTGGCGTCTCTAAATGCTAGAAAACACAAATGCCGTTTACACATACCATTTGTAAGCTCAAAAGAAGACTTGGCAAAACCAGTAAGTTGAACAGAATCAAAAGAGGTTGACATGGATTTCAGAATATCAAAGTAGACGTTAAATGAAATATTGAGGTCAAAAGTGGAATTCAGATTTCGACTCGGGTAGTACCTAGGAGAGAGCAAATTTGAGACTATGAAAATATTAATTGTAGGTACAATTTAGCGAGCGTGTGTACGGAATCTCAACTGGCGCGTATCAGGCAACATGTAAAAGTCAACGGTGCTCTGTACATCGCGTCGGCATAAAAGGGACGTAATTGTACGGCAAATAGCTACATAAAGCAGAAACTGACCGGGCTATTAGCCGGCGAGCGCATTGGTGAACGACGCGCTCGCGCTCACGGTGGACGCGCGAGATACGATGGATCGTAGTATTCCGTGCCACATTTAATTGAAGCGCTTACGTAAAGATATGGAGCTGAGGTTTATCTACGACGGGCCAAATGTGTTTCGCGAGGGAAACGACGTTGCCGCCTCCACCACATCCGCCGGATAGGATCTCGCGCACGCTATCCGCGAATTATCCGAAGAGACAATTTCGCTGCAGAAAGAGCGTTATCGTTTGAAGGTCTGACCGAGAGAGGGAATGTAGAGAGAAGTCCACTGAACGCGATAAAACGAATTACTTGTCCTCTCGTTGAGCGAACAGTGATCGATCGATCGGCACACTTGCGATAAGGAACGACGATTACAAAAAACCGAGATTGAAATATAAAAATAACTGAGACTACATTGAAGAAATGTCCCAGGAGAAGGACCCCTTTTGATGCTACTTTGACGCTCTTAAGGATAGTTTGTGCTTATTTAGACGGTTTATAGCCTATTAAAATTAATTTTGACGATATTGATACTTATTAACTTCTTTTTTCAACCTTAACTCTACCTTATCAAAATTTTGATGCTACTTTGACGTTCTTAAAAATAGTTTGAGTCTACTTAGACAATCTACAACCTAGGTGAAACCTATTTTGACGATATTGACACTCATTTCCGAGTCAAAATTTTGACCCTATGTTGAATCTTGAATTCTATATCACAATAGGATAGCAAAGTAGGTTTAATTCTAATGATATAATTTACTCCTACTTTAATCCTGATGTCTGAAATATACGTAACAAATAAAATGTATATTTTGTATGCTACTTGATGTTTCTGTTTCATTATTTATTAAATTTTTTTAATATTTCTATAAAATATATATATTCTATGTAGGAGCTAAAGCTTCAATAGAAGTTCGCAACTGAGCCTACTTTGCTTCCTAAGATCCTATTATTATACTAACCTACTTTGACACTAAAGAAAGCGAAAGCGGAAATTTCAGACATCATCAAGGTCAAAGAAATAAATTATATCATTAGAATTAAGCCTACTTTGCTATCTTAGCTCTTACTGCGGTGTAGAATTCAACATAGGGTCTAAATTTCGACTCGCGGAAACGCGCGAAATCTAAATAATTTCAATGAGTAAGAATAACGGATCAATGACCTGACTATCAGCATCAACGCAACATTTTAACTCGTTCGAATTCATACTAATTTGTAATGTCATATGTATTGAAAAGGCGCTGTACTTTTTCACGAGTGGGGGAGAGAAATAACAAATCTTCCATATATTTTCGGTAAAACTGTCCATGTTAACTCGGTTTTATTGTGAACGCGACTTAACTTCTCAATGCCTTAATTATACGAGATGACACGTACGGGAAAAGGTAAAGTGGATTCATCTTGCCTTAATTGAAGTGCGCCGCGGATGCACCCACGCGAGAGAACAGCATCTTTCATCGTCAGTATAGCCGCGAAGAAAATTTAAAAAAATTTTAAAGTCTTCTTACTCTACGTTGCATCTTCTTATAATTAATTCTCGACAGAAAATGTCTCGCTGAAATCTCCGCATTTTATGTATTTTTAGGCTCTTCGATTATTTTTAATCTCACGTCGCTGCCTACGCGACAGCCGTCGCGTAACAATTTCGCAGTCAATTCATATACATAGATCTTGATTGTGTCGGCTAATAATATTGCAACAGATTTAGAAGATATTATTGGCACAATGTGATATTCTTGATAAACTAATTAATAGTATCGAGACCAAGGAAAGAGGAAAAGGCACTTTAAATTTCGGAAAAAATTAGATTTCACTTTAAACTCAAATCCGAGCTTAGAATTTTTCAATTAAATCGCACGATTATAAATATAATGTCATGTATAACGTATGATTCCACTGAAACAATCGGACCTGACTCTAAATTCAGACCCGAGTACTTGAGAAAAGTTTCAAGCAACAACTGTTAATGCGGGCCCTAACAAGTGACTGAACTAAAATGACCGGAAACTCGCGTGAAATTAGAAACTCTCACGTCCCCCGGGACACGCCCTATTTATCCCTGTACAGCTGTCCACACGGCCATTTTTTCTTTCTTCAAGAGGTCGCTGGAAGAGGAAGAGGGGCAATCGCGATTTACGCGTGGTTTACGTACTCACCTCGTCGCTGAGTTATTACCGCCGCTAGCCGCCGCATGGAAGTAATTACCGGCTCTTCTCGAGGGCACGGCGACGATTAATCGCCGGTCTGCTTATCATAATTAATTGCGGGATATAACGAGCAGAAACGCCCGCCGAAATCCGCGGGCCGACAACATCGGCCTGCCGCGAAATCCCGCTCGCGCAATATTCAATAGCTCGCGAAGCGCGGCGGCCCGCGGATTTATCGTCGCCCTGGCGCCGGACATTTATCCGGGATGGGTGGCGTTTTAACGGGCTCGATATTTAACGGGCGTCGCCAATAATATTTCTCGCTGCTGTTCGTCGTCGGCCGACCGTCCGACAAGCTGGTGGTGGCGGCGACGGCGGCGGCGGTCGAAAAAAGGGGGGTGACGCGCGGCAAGAGGCAAGGGAATCGCTCCCACAGGGCAGATCACCTATCGATAAACCGCGTTAATAACGATAATCAGATCGTAAGGAGGGGTGAGGCGACAGCGATAATACAGACCGACCGGGTTTTATTATCTCACAGTTTTTCACGACAGACAAAAGTGGGTGGTCGTTCCACGCTCCCACGTAACGTTAATATTAGCATTAACTAACCAATTTCACGGGGCGTAAAAAGCGTAATCGAAACGCCCGTTTTCGAAGAAGAATAGTAATAAAAAATATTAAGTGTTACATCAAGTAATAAAAAAATATAATGTCCCATAACCTCTGATGAAAGTTCCCACAAAAAGCTATGAGTAAAGTGCACATGTGTGTATTTATTGATCCCCACAGAGTTATGAGGCTATGAGAAAGTGTAGCTCTCTCTCTATCTTATTAAAAAAAAATTATATACAACTTTTAATTTGTGATATCATTAATTTCCAAGTATAAGATATTGTTCGCTTGAAAGAGAAACAATGAGTGCAGAACTCGTTTAAGAACTTACTACGGTACCGCGAGATTAAGATCAGCCATATCGAGGTCAATGGTTAATTAAAATCCGACAGCAATTATATTCCGCGTGTTTACGTTGGATCTGAATTACGATGTCGAGGGAAGAATGTCTCTTTCTTCAAATTCGCGTGAATTAAAATATAGTAAATAATTAACTGAATTTTCATGGCAGAATAAAGACCCAAATACTAACATATTTCTTTAGTTATTGACACACTGGAAAAATATCTGGTTTTATTGCGACTAGCATTACAGTGCAGTGAAACTTCTTGCCCGCACTCCATGATTTCAAAAGTTCACTGCTACTAAAACCGTAAACAACCGCTGCTGCAGTTGCAAGAGAAGCCAGATTTGTCTAGAGTGGCAATGACTAAGGGAGATCGATAAATTAGTGTATCAATAATTGAGTGCTTTAAAATTTGAGTAAAAATCGATGTCGATATGCCTCGTG